ACATATTACTCAAACAAGATTAGAACTGATAAAACTCTAGATTGTTTTCCTGTAAATGTAAAAGAAATGAAAGCACAACAATGGCATAACATATTTTAGAACTACATTTAAAATATGAGATAAAGTAATATGGAGGTGGGCAAAGGGAGTGGGAATGGGGGACACCTATAATAGTGTCAACAATTTTAAAAATTAGGAATTTTTTTTTAAAGAAGATCTTGTCTCACTTACAAATAGTTGAAATTTTAAAATAAATACTCAAACTTTTTTCTTTGGTTGTACAAGCACATCATCAACTAAAAAATATTCTTTTAGATGCTGCCGTCTTATGTCCTTCTAAGCTCCACTCATTATGGAAATTGATGACTAAATGTTGCCTCAGGATGAGGATTAATATTTCTCTAAATATTAAAAATAACACATATTTCTAAATATATTATTGCTTTGTAGTAATACACCTTCAGTATATCCAAACAAACTGATTAGCTTAAGCGTATCATCAGATATCAATTCATAAAATAGAAGTTAGTTTATATCCTATCTACTAAAGTAACATAGAAAAATACGAGGAATAGTTAGATGTGTCTCTTTGAGGATGAAAATCTTGAGAGAAAATTGTGCATAAACAAGAACAATATGTTTTATAGTTAATTAACTTCATATTTTATATTTTCTACCTGCAATTTCATCTACCCTTATTGGCATTTCATTTAGATTTTCTATCTAAAATGTTCAGACAATTCCATAACAGATAATATGATAACACCCCCATAAAATCTTCAATGTGTTTTGAAGACAAAATTAAGAATTAGAATTAAAATCTTTTAGCCATGAAAGTGTATCTGAGACAAATTATTGAACTGAAGCATAACAATGACAATAATCATAGCAAAAACTAAAAGTTGTATATAGTTATTTAGATATTTTCAAGGTCTGTATATTTTGTGCTGGACATAGTACCTATGAATGAATTTTTCTGTTTTCAGCTTAATGTTTGTCATCATGCCAATAATGTGTAGTGTGAAGTGATAGTAGAGGCCTGTGTATACCTGTGGAAATAAAAAACTGGGGAAGTACTTGGGTTATTCAAATACCACTATGCCCAGTCTTTAAATAATCTCAATATTACCATTTAATCAACATTAAAGAGTTTGTCTTTGAACATAACCCACAGCCAAAATATTGCCATGTGATAGCAGAGATCTAGGAGGTGCAATAAAATACTTACATTAAATATTTTGTCAAGCAGGATGTAACTGACTAGGAAAAGCTTTTCTCTCAAAACAAGCAGCTATGTAGTGTTCTATCAACATTCTTCTCTTAAGAAATCTTGGAGGATCTGTCCGGAGTGCTGAAAAGGTTTAAGCTGGAGGAGGCTGGAGACTTTGTGGCCTGTGCATTAACCTGATGAGTTCAGGGAGCAGTGTTTCCAGGTTCCCAACCTAAGAGCCTTTTAATCAGAAGTCACATCCATAAAGGACAGAAACGGTCACACCTGCTTCTTAAATGTGTAACTACATAGATATGAAGGGGAAACTAAAGAAGAAAATATCCTGTGCGGTCATGAGGGAAATAAGGAACATAAAACACACTTAACAAGAGGCAGCATGCCCAAACACTCCCGATACTCAAAAGAATGTCTAGAATGTTGTATAACTAAGAGGATTCCACAGGAAACTGCAGCTTATTCCCACTGGCTGAAGGGGATGCACATTTTACAAGGCAATGCTTGCTTGGCTGCCTCACATGGCCAGTGGCCAACATTAAGGATATAGATTAGCTCTAGCTCAGTCTCTAGGGACTCTGAACAATAGAGCAACATGTAGGGAATGAAGAAGAGGGTGGAAGGGAGGCTCTGCCTTCCCACCGGCCTGTGCCAATTGCTTAGTGGGAAGGAAAGTGTTGGAGAATCTATCTGCCTGGCTACTTAAGTTTACAGTTCAGCGGAGGCATAACCCACATTGTGCCTAAGTAAGCACAAACGCCTGTTAACTTCTCAATTTCCCCTCACCACAGCACCTGCTCCGGAGGGAAATGGGGGCTGCAGGAATCCCAGCACCAGTTCTCAGAGCTCTCTAGGCAGACTCTGCATGACCCTTTGAGAGGTCCCAAGCACAGCCTTAGTCTCTGGGCAAGGGCTAGCTGCGGGCCTGCCCCAGGTGAGGTTCATTCCCCAGTCGCTGTATCCTGGGTGCCCTCCTCACCAGGACGCTCGAGCTGCCACGTTAAGGTAACTAGCAGGTTTTGTATCCGAAGGGAAAGGTACATCCGTGGGGGAGGGAAAAGCGGGAGGGCGCAGACTGAGGTTTAGAGAGAGGCTCGCTAGCGTGTTTGAAAAAGCTGTGCTTTCAGCACCACCCGCTGTCCCCACTCTTCTGCAGCAGGCGCATTGGTCACAGCAGGGACTCTCTCCTTCCCCTCTCTACCTGGGCTTCTCTCCATTCCGAGGGATCTCTTGGGTGGTTTGGGGAAGCTCAGCCTGCATTCTATACATGGGCGCCTGGCTCAGGGAGCGGGAACTCGGGTCTGAAGGCATGCAGAATCCCTTTCCCAACCTTCGCAGGACTTCCCTCCTTCACCCAATCACTTTCACCTTTTCTCCCAACAGGTTTTAACTAAGGCCGTTGCAAATGGGGCAGACTTCAATCTCGAGTTCTGGCCACCCCTGGTTCCCCCATTTCCCTCCCTCCTCCCCCGTCTTCCCTCCGTCCTCCCCCAAACCAAACTGCGAGTTACCAGGCAAAGTGACAGTTGCTACATCCTTCCCGCCCCTGGGACTCTTGGGTGCAGGGACACTAGCAAGCTTACCCCCCTGTTGGCCACGCAGTGGGCAGTGAGACGTGGTCAAGCTAGCCCCCACAAAGTTGGGCCTTGCAGATCACAGGGGTAGAGCCAGCTTCTCCAGTTTCCTGTTTCCCCCAAAGTAGATCTTCAGCTCATCTCCTGAGCTCAGTGAGTGCCGAACAGCAGAGCTGAGGGCTTTGTGTGCAGCAATGTCCCTGCTACTGAGAAAGCGGGGAAGGGGGAAGGGGAGAGCACGGAGGAGGGGGGGTGGTAGTTTGTATTTATAAAGAACAGAGTTCTCAGCACAACTTTTTGGTGCCACCAAGTGGCACAGTGAGTTCCTTTAGGAACACAGACTTTGAGTTGAGTCTGGATAAGGTAAACCAGCTCCATCTCCAGATGCTTACATGGGGGGCCTGGGAGGATGCCCCTGGGACTTAAGGTTTCTCATGTGCACCTTCATATCTCAACACCTAAGATGCAGATCCCTAGGTTCTAAGGCTGAGCTTGTGCTGGGGTGGAAGAGGTGCCTGTTCCCTTTTCAGACATGTGCCAGGGGTATCAAGAATACCAGGCAGATGCCAGTCCCCACCGAGGAGTCTAGCCACCCTTCTCTCAGAAGGGATACCCACTCCCTTCTCCCTCCTAAACCCTCTGCCCATATTACAGTCTTCTCAGATCTACTTCTAAAACCTTCTTCCTCCATCCACCCTTAGTGCCCAGCCTTTAAAGTAGGGAGCCACTGGTTTTCCTTGTGTTAGAATAGATTCCAAATTATTGCCCAAGCCCTCTCACATTGAAAGAACTTCACAGCTTGCTACCAAGCCTCCTTCTGTAATTGCTACCTTTTCAAGAAGCTTGTGGTGTTAGCTCTGGGGATCGGAGCCCCTCCAAGCAGCACTCAGAACTCCAGGTTCCCTTGGCTACTTACTAGGTGTCTGATTGTCCTACTCACCCATTTCTACAGACCTCCCGGCATGCATGACACCAACTACACCACCAGGAGCTTGCAAATGCCTTTGCCACTTTGAGGGGAGATTCCCTGAAACTCCCATTATCTGAATTTTCTGGGTGCTCTCCCTTTCCTGCCTACAGATCCTCAGCGCCATGCTGTCACAGGCAGACACTACTGCCCGGGACCTTGGTATCCCAAAACACAGAAGAACGTCTACACTTTGCAGATGGAGTAAAGGAATACACAAAGGGTAAGGAACTTGTTCAAGGTCATACACTTCCCTTGAGACCAGCCCAGGGACTACCCAGGGGGGGAACTGAATGAACACAGTGATACCAAACCTGAGTCCAAGCTCCTCTTCCTCCCAACACAGCCCCTTCAGGCATATCCACTCCCTTCTCCTCCCTCTCTCTCCCCACATTCCTCTCTCAGACCTCATCCTTTGCCAAAGTTCCATAAAGGAATCTAGGCTAAGGATGCCCTCCTAGCCCTACTTGGAGAACATGAACTTGAGCTCAAAGGGCCAGAGTTGCAGGCAAACCCCCTTAAAATGGCCCCCTGCTCTAGAAAACCTCTTCCTCCCCGTAACGTAGTCATGGAAGTGTCATTTTATAAAGGGAACACTGGCATTCATACCCACTCAGGTCCCCTGTTTGCTGTCTCTTTTCTGGGAGGGGAGGAGGAGGCAACAGCAAATGCTTCTATAATAGTCCCCCCACCCCCCAAGCACCCAGTAGCCTCAAAGACAGCGAAGCCCCCCTCCCTTGATACATGCACCCCTTTGTGCACATGCATCGGTATGAGAGTGTTAAGAGAGGGAGAGAGGTGTCCAGACGCCTCCTTTGGCTCAGATCTCTATTTTCTTTTCCTCCTCTGATATTTTTTTTAGCTCGTTTTCTATGGAAACGCGACCCCTCGAGATCCTTCACTCATGCAAATCAGAGCAAAATGAGCTTCATCAACCTCTCATTGGAGCGACGCCGCCTTGGTGGCTTGGGCTCCCGGACCCCAAATGCATGTCTGATGCACCCAGCACACGTCCTTGCAGGGTGACTTTTCTAAACTTGCAGGACCTCCCAGAGTCCCCAGCTCCACCGGTCCTCCACCTGCCCACCACCTGCCCCGCCGGGTCCCTCGCCCGAGCTCCCGCCCCTCTCCCTAAGGCTCCCAGCCCCGCGCTGGGGGAGGGGCTCCGGCTCCGGGTCTCCTACATCGCTGGCGACTCCGGAGCCGAAAGAAAGAGAAATCGCGCTGTGCTTACCAGATGCGCCCCCCGGCTAGCGGCTCCAGCGGGCGGCGTCCTGCGCTCGGTTAGCGGCCTCGGCTGCAGCCGGAGCGCTAGTGGCAGCGGCGGCAGAGGCGGCGGCGGCGGCAGCGGGAGCGCGGCCCGAGGCGGTGGCGCTTGCTGCTCTCCCCCCAGCGCCGGCGGCACGTGCCGCACTCGGGCAGACGCAGCCCGGAGCGCAGCGCAGAGCTGGCTCCCGCTCCCACAGCGCCGCGGGGACGCGAGGGGGGGGGACGATCTGGGCACAGGCTCCTTTGGGTGACAAGTGTCTGGAAGCCTCCCGGTCTCGGGGTTCGGGCGAGGGGAGCCTCGGGCTCCCTCTGCAGCTCCTCAGCTCCCCTCCAGGAGCCGCGGAGGAAGAGCTGTGCGGGGAGGCGTGGGTGGCGTGTCACTCAGAGAGGAGCTGGGGGAGCAGGTACAGAACTGGCTTCTCTCTCTCTGACGGGGGCACTCGAACCCCTGGCAGTGTTGGGGAAGAAGGGGCGTCGCAGCTGGAAGCCCGGAAACCCAGATTCAGAGGTGTGAGCGGTTAGAAAGGACGGGCTCTCTCATGGCATGACTTATTAACAATGCCATTTTGCATGTCTGCACTTCTTACAAAGGATGATTCCTTCGACATCCATTAAAATCTCTCCCTCCAAAGCAGTAAAATCTCTTTTACTCCCTCAAATGACTCTGCTTTCCTTCTCCCATGACCCCTATAACTCACCAAGACTGTAAAAAAAAATAAATTCTGTTTTTATCTTTAAATTCCAAAAACACTTCATTTCCACCTCTGAAAAAGAGGCTGGTATAAATAAGTTGCATGGCTTCCTTTAAAGAAAAGAAAGGCATTGTCCAATGTGGTTGTTAGGGTACAGGTCATATCTCCCTCCTGAATGTGGGGAGCCAGGAGCTGCAGCAGTTGGGTGAAAGATGACAAGAGGAAGACATGGACATTGAGGGCTTGGTCCCAATGAATCCACTACTAGTGCAGATTTCCCCCCAGACCCTGGAAAACATGGCACGTTGTGCCAGGGTAGCTTCGGGATTCAGCAAGCAAAAGACCAAGACACGTAGCTATCACACTTTGTTGATCTTTCCATGGCATCTTCCTTCTCCCCGTTTTCATGTGTACTCTGGTGGTGGCATTAATTTTGGAGGTTCTTTGATTGCCATCCACAACTCGAGTTTTAGTCTTTTGCTGGGAGGCCAGAAAAGCAGTTGGTTGGTCTTCCTGAATAAGAAAGATGGGAAATACGGTGTACATAAGACAAAGAAAAAAAAAATAGTGAGAGTTCTGAGGAACATAAAAGGAGAACTGATGACAAGATGATTATGGGAATGTAATTAGGCCTGAGGCATAAAATGCTTTGTTAGCCCAACTGGACGGGGCACTGGCAATGTGGCCAGGTCACGGATTGGAGCCTGCTGATGGTCACTTAGTTTTGAGTTATCGCAGGACACACTGTGTTCCCCGTCCTTCATCAGTTAGAATTGGCTCAAAGTACACGAGGGAGTGGGCTGAGCTTAAGCCAAAAGGGATTCTCATGGTGGCCACTCAGTCATTTAAAGTCTTCCAATTCCTACACACATTCCTTCCCTGCTGTGTCCCAGGGTTATGGAGAGGATGGGCTCATGTCAAAGCGTGCCAGAAATGATAAAGCATTTCAGGAAGGTAAAAATGCATTGTTTACTAAGACATATCTACTTCCTGTGCTCTAAAAGCTAAAATGTGGAGGAGATCCAAGATGGCTGCGCCCAGGTGAACACCTAGCCGCAGCCGCACACAACAATTTCAATAAAATACAACTAAAATATAAAACGGACATTGCCCAGAACTACAGGAAGGTTGACTGACTGGAAATTCTACAGTGAGAAGCAAGGAGAAAACCAGAAGGAGGTGCGGAGGAGCTGGAAAAGCCAAGGTACGGAGACGCGGAGACGCGGTGCGCAGAGAGGACAGAGCCGGAGAGGAGGAAGGCCGAGTGCCTGGCGGGCGTTCCCTAGCGGAAAGGAGATAAAGCTCCGACTGTGCTGGGCCCCCGACTGCTCTGATCCCCAGTTTTAAGCCAGACCCCGGGGACTCAGGCTCAGCCATAGGGAGCCGGGCTGTAAGGTGGAACCCCGGGGAAGTGGCGAAAGGAGGTCCCAGCGGTGCGCACACTGCGCGCAGAGAAGGGACATTCGGCTGTGCCGCGGGCTTGCCCTGACGGGAAGGAGACTGGGGCTCCAGACTGCTCTGAACGCCACCTCCAACTCCACTTCCAACTGAACTGAACCCCAATACCGGGCTCATTGTGGGAGAGCATAGACTGTTTGGCAGCAGGCGAAAATCGAGGGCACCTTTCTCTCAGAGGCGCCGGCAGTGAGCTCTGAAGGACCCGCATAGGGCGGGGCTGACGGAAGCCAAAGCTGCAGGCTCCACCCTGAAACCCCGTCCCATCTGTAACTGCGAAATGCGACAACAAAATAGATCACAAACGAAAGAAATGGAGGACAAAAAGCGTCTGGATATAGAGTTCAAATCTACGCTTATAAGGTTTTTCAAGAATTTCCTAGAAAAGATGGATAAGGCCTATGAGGATATGAAAAGAGATCAACTAGAATTAATAAGGGATCAACAAGACATAAAGAATACATTGTCTGAAATAAAAAATATTTTACAGAGTCCTAAAAACAGAAGGGAAGATCACAAGAATCAAGTCAAAGATTTGGAACATAAAGAGCCAGAAGACACTCCTCCACAGAAGCTAGAAGGCAAGAGAATCCAGAAAATTGAAGATAATGTAAGAAACCTCTGGGACAACTTCAAGCGAACCAACATCAGAATTATTGGGGTCCCAGAAGATGAGAGAGGGCAAGATATCGAAAACATACTGAAAGAAATAGTGACAGAAAACTTCCCCCACCTGGGGAAAGAATTAGACTTACAAGTCCAGGAAGCGCATAGAACTCCAAACAAAAGGAATCCAAAGAGGACCACACCGAGACACATCATTATTAAAATTCCAAGAGCAAAAGACAAAGAGAGAATATTAAAAGAAGCAAGAGCAAAGAAGGTAGTAATCTATAAAGGAGCACCTATACGATTGTCAGCTGACTTCTCAACAGAAACCATGCAGGCCAGAAGGGAATGGCAAGAAATATTCAAGGTGATGAATAGCAAGAACCTACAGCCAAAGATAATCTATCCAGCAAAGCTATCACTCAGAATCGAAGGCCAGATAAAGAGCTTCACTAATAAAAAAAAGCTAAAGGAGTTCATCACCGCCAAACCAGATTTATATGAATTGCTGAAGGGGGTTCTTTCAGAAGATAAAGTAAACAAAGATAAAAATTATGAACAACAAATACGTAACTATCAACAAGTGAATCTAAAAACCAAGGAAATTAAAAAAATCTGATGAACAATATTAACTGTTGAATATAATAGAATCAGAGGTATGGAAGGGGAGTGAACTGACAATTCTTGGGGAAAAGGGGAGAGGGGGGCGTGGGAAGAGACTGAACATAAACTGTGCACATATGGATGAGGACAATGGGGAGAGGGGAAAGGGCAGAGGGTGGGGTGGGAACCTGGTGGAGGAGAGCAATGGTGGGGGGGGGGGGGAAGGAACATTTGTAATAATATGAACAATAAAAACTTATAAAAAATAAATAAAATAAAATAAAAAAAATAAATAAATAAATAAATAAAAGCTAAAATGTGGAGAATATTCCACGTGTTGTGCAACAGTGATATTTTCAGGTGGAAAGGAAAACAAAATTATATAATGTTAAATTGCTCAGTGACATTTACAAGAGAGCTTTACCTCATACTTGTAAAGTGCGGAGTTAGGGAAAATTAAAAGGAGCATGGAAACAACTAAGTCCTGAAAGTAAGTTCCGGTTGTAAATTGCTCAAGGGCATGACTTCTGCCTTAGGATGGGCTATTAATCATCAAAATATTGCAATTAATGTGTAGAATGAAAAAAAAAAGCTATTTATACTCATACTTGACTCATTTTATAACTTGGACTTTTCATTGATTCTTCTCTTTCACTAACCTATGACAATTTATCAAGAAATATTCTTGGTTCTACCTTCAAAATATATCTAGAATACTATGGCTTCTAAACACCTTCACAGATACCATGTTTCATCAAACCATGTCAGCTTTTACCTAGTTATAGTAATAGTTTCCAACAAGTCTTTCAGCTTCTTCACTTTTTCTCTAAAGACTATATTCAACACAGCAGGAAGAGTGTTCTTTGTAAGAAGTTAGCTTGACTCAAAACCCTCCAGCCATGGCCAGGGTGGCTCCATTGGTGGGACATCATCCTGTGCACCAAAGGGTTGCCAGTTCCATTCCCAGTCAGGGCACATGCCTGGGTTATGCTGATCAATGTTTATGCCAGCATATCTATCTCTCTCTCTCTCTCTCTCTCTCTCTCTCTCTCTCTTTCTCTCTCAAATCAATAGGAATAAATCTTTACCATAAATAAATCAGTAGCCCTCCAATAACTTTCCATTTCATTCAGACTCAAAGCCCAAGTTTTTACTATTACTCTACCCAATCTGCTTCCAGTCCATTACCTTTCTGATCTCATTTCCTAGTACTCTCCCCGCTTTGCTCACTCTACTCCAGTCACCAGGACTCCCTTGCTATTTCTTAAATATGACCACATGCTTCAATCTAATGACCTGTGCATTAGCTGGTTTCTTCTGCATGAAATGCTCTGTTTCCAAGTAATTCTTGGGCTAACTCCTCTCTTTCAAATCTTCGCTAAAATCTTATCTCCCTAACGAGGCCTTCCCAGAGTACCCTTCTTTAAACTATTATACCTCATGATCTCAGTGTTGTTGTTCCCCTTTATATTATACAACTCTATTTCCCCCATATCTCTTTTTTTTTTCAAATTATTTTTTTAAATAATTATTTTATTGTTTAAAGTGTTACAAATAGTAGGACATATGTCTCCTTTTTTCCTCCATTGACCTTCTCCCAGCCTCACTAACCAACCCCTGGCACACACCTCTTATCCCCACCCCCCCAGTGTCTTGCATCCATTGGTTATGCTTATGCATGCATTCAAGTCCTTTGGTTGATCTCTTACCTCATCCCCACCAATCCTCCTCAGCCTTCCCACTGTAGTTTGACAGTCTGTTTGATACTTCTCTGCCTTTGTGTCTATTTTTTTCAACAGTTTATAATGTTCTTTATTATCCATAAATGAGTGAGATCATGTGGTACTTTTCTTTCGCTGATGGGCTTATTTTACTTAGCACAATGCTCTCCAGTTCCATCTATGCTGGTACATATGATAAGAATTGCTTCTTTTTTATAGCAGAATAGTATTCCATTGTGTAGATGTACAACAGTTTTTTAATCTACTTATCTGCTGATGGGCATTTAGGCTGTTTCCAAGTCTTAGCTATTGTAAACACAGGGTATATCTTTCTGATT